AATGTGATATGGTCCCTCATGTGTTCCCTGTTGAGGACCCGTGTCCATAACTACATGAGAAGTACTGACTGTAGCTCAGGTGGTTTTAGCATTGCGGTACCTCCTGGGCACCCACCAGCCTAACTTCGTCGCATTCAGCGATGATGAGAGCTTCATAAGTGTTCCGCACTTGTTCCAATTGGCCGCCACACTTCCTGCAGAGCGCTTGTATGCTGGGAATGTGATCAGCACCTTTCAGTTCAAAGGACAAACCCTGGAGCGACCAACGCGCGATGTCGCATCATACGTCACGTCAGCGAGCAGAGCTCCCTTGTTTGCACAGGGTATGGGCTTCTTGGTAAGCCGAGATATCGCAGAGATGATTTTGAAGACGGGCCTTCAGGCAGAGATGTTTGGGCCAGATGATGCTCTACTCGGGATGTGGCTGCGATCTGTCGAGGACCTGCGTATCATCAATTTGCCTGAGCGCTTCGTGGAGCACGAAGGTGAGTTGGGCAGTGCTTTTGCGAGGCCATGCACCGGTGAAGCAGTGATAGTGCATCGCATGACGCCTGAGCGTTGGCAGCGGTTTGACAGTACCTCGGTTAACCCAGTTATTGGTTCACAGGGGAATCCATTTATGAATCTTTTTGGGCGCCTGTAGAGTACGTCCCAGGCAAGCATTGCCACATTTGTGGGGGCGAAGGTGTGCTGGATACAACTCTGCTACAGACCACAGCCCTTGAGAACAGGAAGCTCAAGGCCATCACCATGTGAGCTACAGTCTACACTCCTGAAGGGGGCTATATAGGGGATTATATAGGTTTTAGAGTTTAGGGTCTAAACACCTTCAAGGGCCATGAAATAGGGTAGTAGTAGTACAGGGGTGATTAAGTAAGGGGCATACTAGGAGTTAAGACTATGCCTCTTTTATTTACTGGTTCAGGGTTTGGTGTTTAGGTTGTGAAGGAACAGTGTTGTCCATTTCAGTAGCAGATGAGCTCTAAAGGGTCCTGCTAAGGGGTGGATAGGTGTCGGACCCTGTCGCATATTTCGAGAAGGACAGGGATGTGAAGGAATGGAGCAGAAAAGGGAAACTGTGTTTCGGGGCTTAGTGTTCAGGATTTAGAGTTTGGAGATAGGGAACGCACAAGAGAATGTGCAAGCCTTTGTTCAAGATTCAGCACTTTGTTTTGTGTGATTTGGGGTCTAGGGCTAGGGTCAGGGAAAGGAGGCCACAACTGCAAACTGCTGCTCAGGGTTTAGTGTTTGGGGTTAGGGAATGCCAAAGAACATGCACATTTCTTCTTAAGATTTAGGGTAAATGGTTAAGAGTTAGGGAATGGAAGGTGATCGGGGTTTTCGGATTTAGGGGCCAGGCTTAGGGAATGGAAGCGAAAATGAGGGTTGGGATATTATTGGGGATTTTTCCAAGAACTGAACCACTAAGTTTAAAGTCTAAAGGGAAGTACGGGCAGCTCTACGTAGCTTAGAATTTAAGTTAGGGGAGCCTAGGGGGTTTTACGGTATGTGGGTGTAGGAGGGGAACCGGCAGGTTATAGGGATCATGCCGGGGATTAAACAGGGGGCTCCTATAGGATTTCATCCCCCACTTCCCACTAAGCGGTTTAGGGTTTAGGGTTTAGGGCATTGCGGTCTTCCAGTAGCCTTCTTCTCAAAGCCCTAAACCCTAGACCTTAAGAATCATAAATCCTAAACCCCTAAATAGTAGTTTCCATTTCATTTTCCATTATCCCTAAATAACCTATGTATAGTATAAGACCCTAAACCCTAAACCCTAAACCCTGCGAAGAGAGAAGCCCCGTTCAAGGCCAGGCGGCGCAAAGCCCCCAAGTCTTCCAGCTGCCTACGTGAGGAGGACCCCCCCAAAATAGGGGCTGGGGTGTAGGGTTGAGACTTTAGGGCTTAGGGTTTAGCGTTGAGACTTCAGGGCTTAGGGTTTAGGGTTGAGACTTTAGGGCTTAGGGTTTAGGGTTGAGACTTTAGGGCTCAGGGTTTAGGGGTTGAGGTTTAGGGGCCTTTTAAGGTCTAGGAGCTTAGGGTGTGAAGGGTCTCGACACGTGCCCGAAGAACAACACCTCAACCCCCAAAACTCCGAGCTGTATACCCTGAAAAGACCCTACACTCTAAAGCCTGAACCTTAACCCCTGAACCCTAACCGTTACTGAAAGATGAGGAAGCCTGAAGCAAGCCTGGACCCCTGTACTTGGACTTCCAAACCGTGAAGATGAATTCCTCCCATGCCGTGGGTGGAAGGGTTCTACTCGTACCAAAGAACATGGAACTGGGGATTCCTAAGGCTTAAAGCCAACCTCCCTAAATCTTGTAGTTCTGTTTAGAATATGGATTTCCCTAGCCACCTCTATACTACCTCCCCCCCGAGGCTCATCCAGAAACAAGCCTAATTAGCGGCAATTCCTTTAATAACCTCAATGAAGGGGGAACCTAGCAGTAGTCAGGGATGGGGTAACCCTATAATCCCTATAGAAACCTTATATGATATAGTAGTTTTCATTTTCTTTCCATTACCCAATATAACCCCTATATAGCCCCAATATATACCCTAGAATCCCATAGTAATTTTTTGGGAGGACCTGGGCTGCCGGTGGCCTGGTAGACAGAATCTCGGTCATTTGAACTTTGTTTTTTGTTATTGTTGGAGGGTGGGTGGGTTTAGGTTTAGGTTTTAGGGCTTAGGGTTTAGGGCTGAGGGTTGAGGGTTTAGGGCTTATGGGAGGGTCGACGTTGCGAGCTCTCAAGCCTTCACTGGCACTGCGTATGATGTGGTGCACTGTTGAAATAAGGTCCCTGTCGGATGCCCAGTCTAATGTGGCCCCTCAGGGGTTTCCCAGAATGGGGAGCATTTTGGGGTCCTTACAATAATAAGGGCCATAGTATCCTGGGGTCTATATTGGGGTCCCCTTAGTCGGGGAAACCATCATTTAGGGTAAAGGGAACAAACCCTAAACCCTGTTTTGTAACCACGATCCAAGAGTGACTCAGGAAGGAGGGTCGCCGCTTTCTCAATGCCGAGGCACAGGGGGCCCAATGTCAAGTGCCAAAAACCCTAGACCAAGCCCTAAGCTCTAAGCTATAAATTCTACACTTTAAGCCTACGCCTTAACTAAACGCCAAAACCTGAACCCTAAACCCTAAACCGCCCCCAACCCTAAACCCTAAACCCTAAACCCCAAACCCTTTACATCCCAACTGAGGCCTGCCGGGCCCAGTGTCAGTCGGAGGCTTTTATGTGGAGCCCCAACAAGACATCACCCAGCAGGGCCAGGTGCCTGGGTGGGGGGTTTGACCTTAGATGAGGTTATATAGGGTTTAGGGTTTAGGATTCAGGGATTAGTGAATAGGGTTTAGGGTTTAGGGTTTCGGGATTAGGGTTTAGGGATTAGGGTTTAGGATTTAAGGTTTAGGGTCTAAAATCCTTAAAGGGGGTTATATAGGTGATTATAAAGGGACTACTAAACGGCTTATTAGGGGGGACACCAGGAGTTTAGATTATAGCTCAGATAGGGAGGGAGACAATGACAGTGTTTCGGTCGGTGTGGTGTGCTCGGAATACGGGTCCTATGGTACATCAGAACTACCCAAAACTTGCGGGTTAAGGGCTGGCTGCCTAGGGTTGAGGGGTTTCTAGCGTCCTGCCTGGAATGAAATGCATGGTTTCTTCATAGACAAAGACTCCTAAATCCAATAGTTTCTAGGGATTCTGAGGGCAACGCGGCCTTGGCCAGTACAGCCAAATGCTGTTAAGGAACTTTAAGTTTAAAGAAGTTGCCGTGGAAGCAAATGGAAATTAAGATGGAAAGTCAAAGGAATCTGGATGTACATAGTGGTTACATAGGCATAGAGATGCATTTGAAGTACACTTCCAGAGAAACCACAACTCATTGTGTAGCTGTAGTCTCTGGTAACTTAATTTAGGTTCCTGGAGAGCAATCCAGAACAAGCGTGCCAGGTGTGCAGTTGCGGTTTGCATTGCACTGTGCCAGCCCTCCGGGTCGATGAACACCTTGTGTCCGACGGGCTCACTGGGAAACTATCAACACCTGGTTGCCCGCAAGGTGAAGCCAGAAAAGCCCCGAAGACCGCGGCTTGTCGTATGCATATTCGGCTCGGAGTGGAGTGAATCTGCATCAGCACTGCGGTCCCAAATGCGGCTAGCAATGCGAACTTGCAAAAGCAAACGTTTCGGGGTCCGGGCGGTGGAAGTGGAACATGTGTTTATCATGGCGGGGCTGCCACTGGTTCCTGGCTGCAGATTAAGTAGGAAACAATGCCTCAGAACAGGGGTCACATTGGGAGTAGCCATTATGTTAAGAAAGCGTAATCACTCGTCTCCTTTGATTTGTGTTTTGAAGAAAAGCCAGGTTCGGACAAAGGCTCGAGCAGACGCGCTACGTGAGATGTTCCGAGCTGCCGGGATTTTGCTGGGAAAACTTGTTCAATTATCATAGACCATAATCCTTCTGTCTCTCTATATATATACACACATATTTTCGTTATACAGCGATAAGAACTGAATTCTGCGGACCCCTATAATTATCACAGGCTGGAGATATGGTTCTGAGTCGACCTTGCAGCAGCTGTGACTGCAGCTCCCGCAAGCAGCGCTATGTCTACGAGGATGCCTGGCGGATTGCGACTGGGTTGCTACTAATTAAGGAACTTAGACTAAGTTACCACACTGTGGGTATATGGTGAATCATAGGGCTTGCTTATTATAGCATTAACTTAACTTAAGTTCCTTCACAGCAACCCAGGTGGAGGAACAGTTTGGGGGCAGTGAATACCTTCTGCTTATGGATCGCCTGTCTTATGTAAACGTGCCTATGATGATGCACCTGGTCCTTCCGTCTTTGCCGAGCACCTCTGTCTATGCAGGTTGCTTCATGGAGAAGTCTATGTTCGGTTCCTGCAAGCAATCAAACAGTACAGGCTGGTGTTCGCATTTTGGGCATGGCAGGGTGCCCATTTTTGCGCATGGCATGGGATTTCTTGTAAGTGCAGATGTGGCCCGGGGTGTTGCTCACAATGCCAAGCGGATGGAACTAGCAACAAGGCACTTGCCGCCTGATGTCGCCTATGGCGTCTGGGTCCAGCCTTTGGAAGGAATCCAATACAAACACATGGTTCTTTTCGAGGAGATTCCCCAGGAAGAGCTCTTTGCAGCCTTACTCTTTCCAATGGATTGGTTGCTGTGGCAGAAGCTTTTCCAGGTTGACACATGCCAGCTTGGAACGGGCCGCGAAAATCTGTGGTTTCCAGATGAGTGTCAGGATATGTTTTGAGTTTCCACTGTCCTAGGGCCCTGATCATGAATGAGGTGAATACATTATAATGTGAGCATTTCTTGTTAGAGGGGTGGTCCCGCAAGACATGAACATATGAAGAATGGAGTAGCGTGCCAGTCTTGAAGCGACCATCCCTCAACCCCGAGCCCTTAAAACCCGAAGCAGCCAAACCTCAGAAGGTCTAGGGTTTAGGTTGTAGGGTTTAGGGATCCCTATCCCCCGCAAAATCCTCAGCTAAAACCTGTGCATTTGTCCTTGTTTGTGCTTACTGTCTATAGAACCCAAATAGAACCTCTGTACATACCTGTAAACTCACTTGACAAAATAAACCCTAAACCTAAACCTAACTAACCCCTAAACCCTAGCCGCTTATCCCTAGAGAAAACAAAACCTCAACCCCCCCCCTAAACCCTAACCTCTACAGCCCCTCTAAAAAGCGCTCCTTAGGTATTCGGAGGACCAGATCGAATCGGATCAGTTGGCTGCAGCGTCTCCCAAGGCGACCTTTGTGGAGGACTGCTGGAAGCCTACACCTGAAGAGTAGACTTTGGATTTTATGTACGGGTACCTTTAAAGGGGGATATAGGGGTTATGTAGCGAATATAAGGAATATAGGGATGATGGAAAAGAAAATGGAAACTACCATTGAGAGTTTAGAGTTTGGGAGATGAGGGTTATATCGGGGTTTCCCAAGATTAGGCGTACCTTCTTGGGGGTCGCTAGAATTAGGATTATGGTATCTTGGGGTCTGTATCGGGGTCCTGATATTCAGGGAAGCTACCATATGAGAGTAAAATGAATAGATTAGGGTTTAAGGTGTCAGAGTTTAATTCCCTCCCTAACGCATAAACCTCCATGGCCTGTCATGATGAATCTTTTCCCCATCATATAATGGTACAACGGTGAGGGGTGATTCGTAGGAGGAGAGGATTATTGATTATGAGGGTTTAGACTTTCCATTATTAGTACAATAGCTACTAGCTTTACTTGATTTTAGTCCTACTGTTAGCCGTTTATTACAAGTAGTATCGTTCCTATTCTTGTTCTCACCGCAACTAGAGTGATCAACCGCAAATGGCAGCCCTTCAGCCCTCAACCTACTTTGGTACAGACCTGTGACCTCCCAAGACCTAAACGTGGTATGGTAGACCCCAATCCCCTCCCCCTAATCCTAAACCCCCCCACCCCCCCTAATATCAAATATTCTCAATACATTAGAAAATGCAACATAATGAAAGTATTTACTATTGGGGGTAGGGGGGTCTAAGCGTAGGGGGAGTGGATCAGTCGAGGAAGGGAATGGGAGGTCGACCAGAAGCCTGGTACTTTGCATGCTGTGAACTTGACTGGGACTGGCGTCTGGATCAGGGTTTAGCGTTTTGGAAGACTTGCCGTGGAGTAGGGTTGTCATTATGGCTCTAGGTGAGTCTATGCAGGTTTTCTTAGGAATATTGATGAGTGTATTTGGGTGTCCAACTCAAACGACCTTAGATTTACATTATGGGTCACATAGGAGTTTCACAGCACTTGCGGGCCCTTTTTGGAGGTGTACTTGTTGGAGGCATTGCTTTGTTATTTGCTGTGTTCATGTTATGCTGAGACAACGAACTCGTCTTTGTTGATGCTTCCCCTACTTGCAGTTTCAGGGCAAGCAAAACCCATACTTCAAGGTGCAAGGCGATTGAACCCCATGAAGACTGGCATCTGTAACCCAATTACAACCCTGTGAGTGGACTTGAGGGGCTTTTATCATACGTGCAGTTCTCATTGGGTGCCAATTTCGCCGAGCCTCCAAAGTACCTAAACCTAAACCCTAAAAAAGTCCGAAGGGTTGTAAAAAAAAACCTAAACCCTAAACCCGAAGCCCTAAACTATGATCCAGGTGCTGGGTGGAGCCCTTCACACGTGAAGAGTGCTGCCCTCCTCCATTTCTGCACGAGGAAGTCTTTCCTGGCAGGCCGCGGAGTGAAGATGCAGATGCTTACGCAGGGCTTAGGGTCTAAGGCTTAGGGTTTAGGGTTTAGGGTTTAGGGTTTAGGATCTAGGGTTCGGGGTTTAGGGTTTAGGGAGTTCAGGGTTTGGAGGTTTCAGGGCATTTGCCTGTACCACTGCCGCCCCCCACCCTCAAGTAACCGTAGACCCCAAACTGGGTTGCTGCTGAGGAACTTATTTTAAGTTACTAGAGCAGGGAAGCTTTATCATTTTTATATACCCACATCATGGTAATTTAATTGAGGTGCTTTAACAGCAGCCCAGTAAACCGAAGCATGACAAAGGACGTGGTTCAAGGCTTCTTCCGTTTTGACAACGCAGAGTTCTACCTGTTGACAGAGGCCCTGCGAAAGGCGGGCACGGGTGAAGTGCGCGGCCTGACCCGATCCAGGTGTGAGCCTACCAAAAGAGGGTTTGGAGTTTTGGGTTTATGGTTTCGGGGTTAGGGTTTGAGGTTTAGCGTTTAGGGTTTACGGTTTCGGGTTTGGGGTTCAGGGTTTGGTTTTTGGGAATTGTGCTTTGGGATTTAGCGTTCAGGGTTTGGGGTTAGGTTTGGGGGTTATATGGGGGTTTCTCAAAATCAGGGGTATCTTTTTTATGGGTCCCTGGAATATTGATCATCATATTTTGGGGTCTACATTGGCTCCCCTCTTTTGGCAAATCCACCTGTGGGTTTAGGGATGAGGACTTATGGATTTAGGATCTAGGGTCTAATGATATTACCCTAGCCGCGGAGAGTTAAGTGGATGGAACGTGAATTGGAAAACCAGGGTTTCTAGGGATTAAGGTTGGGAGGGTAGATCCCTTTCTGTGCACCCTGATTATTAGAGGCGGTATCATACCAGGGCCCCAGAAAGGGACCATCATTTTGACAACCTACCTTGTGAGAAGCTTTTCATTCGAGGATCCTCTAATCTCTATAGTCCCAAATATAGATTTTAAGGTCTAGTTTGTGGTTGTGGTCATCACTAAGAAAAAATGTCTCAGTTTTTCAGCCTCCCAAGCCGCGTTACGAATATGGCGGTTGCAAAAAACATGGGCTCTTTGTTCGGAGTCCATCAGCTAAACTAAGGAAACCTTAACCTTAAACTTTCCTAAGCACGCAAACCCTAGCAAGGATGCTTTTCCATCTCTTGAGCCCACCTTCTATCCTTAAGGAGGACCCTCTGCCTTCCTGTTGTTCCGCCATAGTCTGCCCTCCTTCAAGGGGATTAATAAGGGAGGATATAGGGGACTATTATAAGGCTTATTCAGTGGGATGCTAGGAGTTTAGACTATAGCTCATATATCCGCAAAATCCCTAAGGGCTTGTTTGAGAAGCCCTGCGAGGTGCTTGACACCAGAAGATTGCGCACAGGAAGCGTTCGTGAGGCTTTACCACAGTTTCTGGCAGGCAGGCTTGCTACCTCTTCGGCATCCCTGGCTCATGAAGGAGAATGATCGCTTGCATGGAGTTGCTTGGAAGTTGCAGCAGGAAGCTGATGATGAACAGGACAGCAAAGCTGAAGCTGCAGAGGCAGGAAACGAAAGTGGTCAGCAGGCGGTGTGTTCTGAAGATCGTAGTGATGTAGGTGCTTAGATGATCTTAGATGCGTACCGATATCATGGTCCTAGGTTCCTTGTATAATTATGGTATAGGGTATCTCAAACGAACCTCGAAACATGACTCCTGAAAACAGGAAAGCCCGTCTCAAGACCCCAACTAGGGATCCCCAGCCTTTTTCTTACTGGGGGTTAGTAGGGAAATGGGAATATATTATCTATGGATTAGTATATGGGGATTATCTTCCCTTATTATTTCCTAGTTATCACCAGTAAGTCCAGGTGGATCGAAGAGCAAGTGCATTTGAAGAGTACATTGTAGATCGCCGACAGATCACCCATTGGATGCAGCAATCAGCTTCCAAGATAGCGCCCAAGTCCATCCCTGGTGCTTGGGTCCTGGTGGAAGTCTGTTTAGTTTTTTTGTTCTTCAGCATGCCAACGCTAGTTACCGTGACAAACCCATACACAACCTCAGTCGATTTAAGATGATTTGAGCACGCTCTGAAAGCGTTCCCTACACAATCCCTGATGCGGACCCTGTAAGTGCTCATATCCAAAGGTCCCCAGGTTGAAGGCAAAATTATCTACTTGTAGTCTGTACTTAACTACCAATACACGCCACAACCTTAGTCTAATTAGATAAGCCCCTACAACACCCTCAACCCTAAACACTCAACCCTAAATCCCAAAGCTCTGAAGTGGCGCCAATGCGCGCAGAGAGTTTGCGCGCCCGGCATTAGGATAAAAAACCCTAAACCTCTGTGTGGACTCAGGTGCGAGACGTTGCCTCGAATGGGAAAAACCCAAGTACAGTCAACGTTTCTTCCGGGATCATTGCGACTTCTTCGATGTGGCTGGAGCATGATCCTAAGTTCGGGAAAAAGGGAATATATGATGTAAGGTTTAGGGTTTAGGGTAGGGAATAAGCGAATTTAGTTTATAGGGAGTGCACAGGATCTTATTGCCGTATTCCTTACCAACCACCAATAAGCTACAAAACTAGGACTCAAGCTTTCAAACTCTAGAGCAGGTCAATGGTTTAGGGTTTAAGGCTTCGCTGAAAGTGGTAGGTTCGACCAGAATCCCAAGAACAACTAAGGTGGTGATCTATGCGCAATCTCCTGACTGGAAGATAACCACCAACGACAAGGGCAAAGCCTACTATATGGACACTGGGTTGCTGTTAAGGAACTTAATTTAAGTTACTGTATTGGGGCAGCCATATCAATTACTGTACATGCCCATTGTGGTGACTTAGTTTAAGTTCCTTAACCCTAAACCCTAAACCTTATATACCCCCTATACCCCCATATACCCCCATAACCCCTATATTATGGTCTTTAATTTAAGTCCCTAAACCCTAAACCCTGAACCCTAAATCCTAAACCCTAAACCTTAAACCCCTCACCAGGATATCCATGAAGCGGAGAAGCTGATTGAAGCAGGCACCTTTAGCCTGGTGATCTGCACCCAGGTCTTTGAGCACCTCAGAGAGCCCTACAAGGCTGGGCAAATCATACAAACGAGCTGGTCCTTAATTCAGCTATAGTCTAAACTCCCTAAAGGGGGATATATAGGGGATTATATAGGGGATTACTATAGGGGTTATTAAGGGGTATACTAGGAGTTTAGACTATAGCTCAATTGTGGTACTATTAATAATACCAACAATGCTCATAATATCGTAGTTTCCATTTTCCTTTCCATTATTCCTATATCACCCTAATATATACCCTATATAGTCCTCAGTTGTTGTTTACTCTGAGTTTAGGGTCTGCGAAGATATTCGATGGGGCGTTAGTTCAGGATGATGAGCCATTATAGTTTGCGTAGTAAGAGGCCATTGAGCAAATCTTCCGCCTTCTGGTGCCCGGAGGGTTTGTCGTTTGGAGCGCGCCCCTTTTCTCTCAAGTCCATGGGACACCGCAAGACTACTTCCGTTATACTCCAGATGGAGCCAGTGCCCTGGCGAAACATGCTGGTTTCGATGTGGTCAGTCAATATGCTCCCGGAGACTTGAAATGCCTCGTTGGAGTCCTACTCGGTATGACTCTTGGTTGCTGTCAAGGAAATTGATTTACATCAGTATTATAAGGAAACCTTAGTATTAGCTAGATATCCTGATTATATGGTAGTTTGAATCTTACACCCAAAACCCTAAAATGCCCATATAATGGTAACTTAGTTCAATTTCCTTCACAACAACCCAGGATTTCGCCATACTGGACAGACGAGGAGTTGTTCAACGAGTTTGAGGGTGGCTTCCCTCTTCAGGTTTATCTGATTCTGCGGAGGCCCCCGAATGCAAGCAAAAATCAAGAGCCTTCTTGCTTGCGAAATCACGGAAGTTTTGCCCCTGATTTTTTTGAGTTTTCGTTGTTGAAAGCCTTTCATTGGTTGATTAAACGCTGTGCGGTGCTGCACAGGGATTGGGGCGGTGCAGTTAACATGGATCCAATGTTCGGGTGAGCCTTATACACAGCCGAAGTGGCGAACTGATATTTCAGTATCAGACATTTGCTGGCTGTGCAGCGCTCACCTGCGCAAGACTTAAGGAACCTGAACATAATATAGGGGCCTAGATCATCACCAACATTACGGTTCCATATTCCTTCTACAATGAAAGTACATGGTTTCTTAAATGGACCTCAAAATGATATTGGCAATTATTAAGGCCCCCATATTAGCTGAAGGAAGGCATTGGAACACCGAAGGTCCTGACTCAAATCCTACGTCACTCCAACTGGAGCTTCTTCTTCTTCTTTGCGCCACCTGTAGCTGTAGGCTGTAGTATTACTTGGCCCCAACAAACCCAACACCCTAAACACCCGATGTCCCGAAGCCCTGAATCCTGAACCCGGAACCCTAAACACTAATCCTAAATCCAGAGGCCTTCACAGTCAACCCTCAATCCGAAACCCTAAACCGCACACCCTAAACTATGAACCGTAAACTCTAAATCCTTAACCCTATTTCCTCTACCCTAAACCTGTAACCTGGGGTTAACGATGCTTCTGGCATCACGCCTGAGTTGAGACTGTAGGTCACATGAGTAGTATTCGGATGGTGGGGCTCCTGTACCCGTTCAGTATTCCACAAGAGGAACATAGTCTTGCTAGTTCAGCCACCAAAAAAACACGGCTCACGTTTTTGTGGAACTCTAAGCCCCAAACACTGAATTGTCTGGTTTCTTGTCAATGCTGCTTTCCACAAGCAGGGGTCCCCCTTATAAACGCCCCCAGAAGTCCTACGACCCCTAAGGGAGCCCCGATGGTTGGAATCCCCTGAGCCCTAAACACTTAACCCTAAACCCTAAATCCTAAACACTTATCCCTAAACCCTAAATCCTAAACCCCAAACCCTAAAGTCTGAACGCTTGACGCTTAGCCCTAGATCCTAAACCCAAATTCATCAGCGAAGCCTTCTGGCTCTCAGCCGTAGCCTCGGCAACAGTACTTGCTGTCTCATGTCAACAATCGTAGTTCGCTCGCGGTTTAGGGTTTTGAGGTTTTCCCAAAATTGGTATTTAATTTTCTGGTGGTTTCTAGAATAAAGGGTCTATATTGCTGTCTATCAAAAGGTAAAGTCCATAAATGGGGGCACCCCAATGATTTTCGGAAACCACCACCACGATCCGTTGTAATGGTCCTTAAGATTGATTCCTTCATCACGTTCTCGCTTTTCTGCGCATGGCAAGTAATCATACCTATGTAAAGGTGCAGGGGGTTATTTACGGCATAACATAAACATTCACCCCACCACACTGCCTTAAGCACGCAATAAGGTCTTGGGAGGTGGTTGGAACCTCAACTCTTGGTGACTGTCATGTTTGAATCGTTTGTGTCACTTAGTCGTGAGCGACGCGCCTGAAAGCAATGTTTTGACAAGGACCGGTTTGGAGTTAGGGTTTACTGGAAGGTTCATTGGACGTGGTAGCTACTTATGACTTGTAGCGCCCGCTGTATCATATAGCTCACTCTAATTACAAGTAGGGTTCCAAGCCCAGTTATAAGTAGTTGCTCCGTCCCATGAATTTTCAAGCAGGGTCCAAAAACAGAACACTGCTGGGATTCTCCTAGCCCCTTAACCATAAACCTTGCACCCAAGAGCCCTGGAAGCAGTGGCTCCGTCGGGCTCGCCAGGGCCCCACCTATGCATCGGGTTTGGGGTGCGGGATTGGGGGATTTAGCGGTTTAGGGGTTTAGGGGTTTAATGATTTATTTGTTCAAAGGGCTTGAAGATCTACGCTCTGGGTTCAGGGGTGCAGGCCGAACGGTTGTGGGGCTTAAGTGTTGTGGTTTCGTGGTCTATTGTTGTGAGGTTTCGCGTTTTGGTGCTTTAATGTTTCTGTTTGAACCTCTGTGTGAGGCTTTGAAGCGATCTTTTTTTGTGTACATAGACATACACCCTTAAACTTCAGAAAGATCCAGATAGGGTTTAAAGGGAGTTATGAAGGTGTTCAGGGAAGGCTTGGAGGGTGGTTGAAACTGGGCAATTTAAACCGACCTCACCCGACCTCATCCTAGATGGTGGTCTAAATAGGGAATAATACTAAAATGGCTTTAAATTGGGAATTTAAATCATTCTAATTTACGAAGGGGGTAGATGCTTTTTAGCTCCGAGTCACAACCCCCTCAGCCACATTGGTGATTGAGGAAGGTTCTACACACGTACACACCATGAAATTTCTGTTTGGTGCTAAACCTTAAAACTTCAACCCTGAGCTGAAATCCTAGACGTCCTTTTAGGGCTTAGAGTTTAGGGTTTAGGGTCTAGGCTTTATAGGGTTTAGCTTCCCTGAGCTGAATCCTCGACTTCCTTCTAGGTTGGGAAAAAGAGCCCAGTTCCAAAAAGAGATTCCCAGGATGGGCTTGTGCGAGTTGGACGGCAGGAATAAGGAAATGTAGGGGATATTCATGGAGTGCATAGGGGTAATACTGGGGCACTATAAGGAAACAAAGATCTAGCGCTTAGAGTTTTGGGGTTCAAGGTCTAGGGCTTAGGGTTTGGGCTCTCCTGATTCGACTACGAGGAGTTGTGCTAAGAATCATGAAGCATAGGGTGTTTCTCAGAGCGGAAGGGGCCCTAGGGGACCCGAGAGATATGTGGGATAAAGAGGGAGATGATAGTAGTCCCACTTGGTAGTTTCCCAAAATAAGGGGACCCCAATATAGACCCCAAAATACTATAGTCCTTATTATGGGAACCCGCCAAAATGGTACCCCTAATTTTGGGAAACCCCCACTTCAGGATTATTACGAACGGATTGTTTGGAGACTGCCACATCATTGCGGCTCACTTCTAGGGTCTTCTTGGAACAGCTCGGGCTGCTAGATACCCCGTAGAATCCCCCTGAATAAGAATCCGCCCATGACATGATAGATTTTACCGAACAGATAGAAGTACCATATCTGGTGTACTTGGTATGAAGGGTCGGGTTTTTAGAGGAAGGCGAGTATATAGAGATTTGAAGGGAATCAAAAGGAGGATCTCAGGGGGAGTTTTGGGCTCCTGTTTCTACGTGCTTGTTTCTCAAACATCGTGTTCCCCTTTCACCTCCTAAAATAACTTAGCATAAGGTGATGCATCGTGTCGAGAATTGAGAAGTTCCCATTCAATGTCATGAGCTGGTGGTTAAGCCCGTCGTCCATCATTGAGGCGTGTGGGGAACCATCAAGAACCCTAATATTAGGATACTCTCCTGATCCCATAAATCTTAGACCTTTTATGGCTGGCAGTGAAGTTTGTCTTGGATTATGCAGGCCTCTTATCAGCACCACAAGCTGATTCATATAAATTGTGATATTCTCATCTGATATTACATTCTCCCCAAATCCCTAAACCCTAAAATATGTGCAGCTTCTGTCGACCAGCCTAAGGCTGGGTTATTTTTTCTTAAAAAAGCTTTGTTAGGTGACTTCGTATTTCCCTTCGTGTTGTATGAGGGAAGCTATTCATTCTTTTTTTGGGCGGGGCTGGCTCAAGCAGCGTAGAAGGCCTGTGGGAGACCCCTCTCAACCTTTCTATTTCCGGCCTTTTTACATATGCCCGCACCCCCCTACTATCAAAATGTTCCTATGAGAGTCTTGATCTATGGCAACAAGAGGATTGGTGTCTGGCATCCAGCAAGGATCAGTGCTGCCATGGTGCGTGCATGCGAGGTATTGAGCCTGTTTGCAGGAAAGTCTTGCTGTTGACATGAGCTTTCCTGTGGGTCCCGGCAGGGTATGCCATCCGTACCATGAGAAGTTCAACATTTCGCATCCAGAGTGTAGTAAGCTCTATGCCAGCAGGGCGAGGCTGCCTGAGGGCTGGCGGTTGCAGTTGGAGATGCAGGCGCGCCTTGCTTTGGAGGTGCAGAATTGCAGTTCGGTACAAGCCTGTGGCCTTGGCAAGCTCTTCCTTACCGTTGGGGCTTTGACATCTCCTGGATTTGACTTCACGGCCAGGAGCGATCGGGTCATGTTACACCATTACTTGAAGCTACAGAGCAAGGTGAGGTCTCTTCAGTGGCGTCACTTGCATGGCCTCCTGCGTCGGCACAGACTTTCTTTGGCCAGGGCCTCTGCGTTGGCAGAATCTCCCACCACCGTTCGCCCTGAGGATTCAAGGGTTCCAGGGTTGTACCTCGAAAAGGTTCCCCCAACATGGCCCGAACATAATGTCTATATGCGACAACGTAGATATCCTGCGTTTGAAATGCTTGAAGGATGTGACCATCGGCCTCCATGCGGACCCCCGAAGTGCTTCTGGGGCTTGGCGGGGCCAGGTCAGGGCCTGGGAGGCATTTGCAGAAGCCCAAGCGCATGGCTTCCTCCTGGATAAGGAGAGCTACTTCAGTGGTTCTGTTTTTGCCAGATATGCCGACCTCTATTGGGCCAGCTCTACACGTGCAGATGACGGATTCTGGCTGAACTATGGCTATCTCTGCCCTCAAGATCCTCGTAAGTTGCTGCCTAGCCATTCCTTCGCCTTTGCAAGCATTGATGAGGTGCCGGCTGCTCAAAATGGGGATGTTTTTCAGGGAAACTTTCAAATCTATGTGGGCTTCTTAGAGGGATCATGGGGGGTCCTGGCTCATGATTCTAGGGTCCTATAAAGAGGGGTTCTTTTGGAGATTTCATAGGGGATTATATAGGATGTAGGGTTAGAGGGTACTTCTGCGAAACTCCCAGGTTCTTCTGTCGAAGCTTGTGGTCTTCACTCAGCCGCCTGGCTATTGGGACTCCCTGGAAGCACTGGCCCAAGCACTGCCCCAGAGCACCTGGACCGTGTCTGGGTTGCTGTTGGGCAACTTCAAGTGAGGCAATGTACCAGGGATACATACACTCCCGGAAACTAACATGGAAACCCAAAAAGGGCCCTATAAAGACTACAGTCCTTTAAAAAGGGGGCTATATGGGTTTCCATGTTAGTTTGGGGCAGTGTAGCACTTAAATGAGGGAGTTTCCATCATGAAGGAAGGTAATTGAAGTTCCTTGATTTCTAAATGCAGGCACCATTATCAATATATAGATAAGGGTATATACATATGTCTATACAGAGCGTAGATACTTAAACAAAGGAGCTTCGTTCAAGTTCCTTAGCATCCACCCAGGTGTGGGTCGACTTTGACCTGACCATCTCACCCTGTTGCTTCGACTACTTCTCGTTCACGGAGCTGATTGAGCGGAAACTGGGTTTAGGGTTTGGGGGGGGGTTTTGTTAAAGGACGTACCTGAAGTTTCTCTCATGACTGGGGTTTAGGGTTTAGGATTCTTCCCTTTGTATCCATGTGATGGTAACTTAATTTCAGTTCCGTAGTAGCAGCCCAGGAAGAGTACAGGCGACCTTCCGCATGTCGTCTTCCGTGATTCCCCGCCAGAGGACTACCATCACCACTGTGCCAATGCAGGCCTTGTGATCCTGACTCATGCTCAGTTGGGAATCGAGGGAGGGGTACCTAGAGCATGTCTAGAGCAGTCCCTGTATGATCACCCCAATGCGTGTCCTTGTAAATTGTTTCCTTTGGATTCAATTATCAGGGGACATGTGCGCGGACCCGCCATGTTCTGAAAGGCTGAGCCCTAGAACCTGACGCACAGGTAGACAGTCGAAATACGGCCAAGACTTGTCTAAGCCCGAACCCATAGAATTTGTGTTGACAAACCCCGAGCACTTAACCACATGGTATTTATTCAAAAGACCTGTTCCCAAAGTGGCCATGAGGTGGGCTCCCATTCTAGTAAGGATCTCCCTTTAAGTCGTCATCCTTTCGGGTTTCGGGTTTAGGGCTCAGATTTTTTAGGGCTTAGGGGGACCCTAAACGGACCTGCAGGCTTCGTGATTGTCCGCAACAGTGCCATTGGGAGGCTCTTCTTAGAGCTGGCCACGGAAAAGCGAAGCTGGCCGGGACTCCCCTATGGATACTGGCCTTGGGGTTCATGATATGAGCCATAGTCTAAACTCCTTAAGGGGTTATGTGAGGGTTTATATAGGGGACTACTACAGGAGTCATTCAGGGGTATACTAGGAGTTTAGACTGTAGCTCATATAGGGATTATTACGGTTTATATGTGGGGTTATGTAGGGGTATATAGAGTTCATACATAGGGATTGCTGTTAAGTATGGGCTTCTGTAGGGGTATGTAGGAATGGGAAATGAGATGGAAACTGCTTTAATTGAAGGTATACGGACTATTGTTATTATTCACAGTTTAGTTTTTAGGGATAGGGAACACCGGAGAACCAAGTGGAAAAGAATATGCACAATGAGATGGAAGCCTCTATCCAGGGGTTAGGATGTAGGGCTTGTACAAACTGTATGGGTTCCGAATTTTGGGTAGTTGTCAACCTTGCTGCTGCCCTGTACAAGTATTCATCTGGGCTTGCGGGTTTAGGCTTTAGGAGTTTAGGGGTATGGGGGCAGGTCGTGAACTCGAAGGTTAAGGGCAAAATCCGGCATGACTCTATACCCATCGTATGCTTTTTTCCACTTAGAGTCATTCAGGATTTTGTCCATCAACTGCAAGGATTTAGTTTTTCAGGTTCAGGCTTGAGGGATTAGGGTTTAGCGTGTAGGGTTTTCGGTTTGGGGATTTCAGTTATTATAAACGGGTTACGTGCTGCTTAGTAGCGTTTCCTCAGTATGATGGCTTACTTAAGGCTCCCAACACCTAGGATACCAAGCAGCCGTGGCGGAATCCCTGCTGGAGCTGCTGGGTATGGAATCTGCGGTTCTCCGAGGCGGTCCACCGAGCTATTCCTCCGAGTGTTTACCACATCTTGTGCTGGGAAAACCCCTGGGGGGGAGTAGCTATGCAAACTACTGCATGTGTTGGCGGCAGCAGTTGGACAGACTGATCGGAAAAAACAGGGACAAGAGTCGCTGGGTCCACTTTCTGCGCTCGCGGGAAGGTCCGGAAGTTGGCCTCCTCCTTGCAAGCTTTTTCCTGTACCGTGGTTCAGGTCAGAAAGACAGAGGGAGGGGTGCTGGATATCTGCCCTTGAGAGCTTGGTCCAGGGCGAAGCATCGAAGATATGTAGAAGCCTGGATGCCGCCTGACTACAACTATGGAGGACCCTGTGCCTTGCTGCCCCTCATGCTCCACTGGGCATCGCTGCCCCACAGGCCAGCACTAATCTACGAGTTCTTGAGCCATCGCTTTCCCAATTCAATGCCTTTGGAGGTTCTCGTCAACGGCACGACGCAAGAGGTAGCCACTGCTTATCGAGCAGCAGCGGACGAAGGCCGAAAGAGTTGGCATTCGTTTTTGAGACGGTATGCAGACTTTGCCAGCATCTGGCGGGTACATCCAGAACACATGGATGAACCCGCTCAGCAGAAACTGGACGCGGCTGCCTGCAACCTAGGCTCACAGCGCATATGGCTTCTCGGTGGTTACACTTATGGCTCACGTTCTACCAGTGTGAAGTGAGCTAGCTTTCGGGAAAAGGCGATCCGAGCGCTACAGACTTAGGTAACGTGGAGGCGATCCCTTTTGTTACTCGTAGGAGGGAAAGCTGCAACTCTGAAACCTAAGCTCCCTAACCCCAAAGCTCAGGAATAAAGTGCTGTAAAAACAAGAAGTATGTCAAAAACAGTTCTCATAAGAGTACTCAAAATAGGGTTTGCCACTTTGTTGGGGTCTTGCTCAAGATGATCACGCAATAAAAATAATAGTGAGAATAATCGTAATAATAGTAGTAATGGTAATAGTCATAGTATTATGATCATTTTGAAGTAATAGCAACAGTCATAGTAGTCATACTTCTGTAGCATACCGATGTGCGATGCCCACGTGCGTGTTCAGATGCCTTCTCGAGGCTTGAGGAAGCGAGAGTATATCGTTCCAGTCCAGGGTTTAGAAGCTTTGAGTGCTGCCACCATCGAGTAACAGTTAAGAAATGAGCATACTGCAGTTGTACATGGCCCTTCATATGGTTTAGCTTTAGAGCTTGGGGTTCCAGGTCTTACACGTCTCGATCCAAGCAACATGTCAAGGAGGTGCCTTCCAAGGTCTGTGTGGTGTCCAGCCCTGAAGGCAAAGGGCTTCGAGTTGAAGAGTCAGACCTTAAGTCGTTTTGAATCAGTTTGCTGGGCTGAAGAGTCAAAATAGGATGCATGCCCCAAGCTGTTTGCTGACCGAGAGCATCTTATGTCTTAGGCATAGCTGTCAGTCAGCCATGGCTTGCGCAACTCACGGTGTCAGCAGGGTCCTGTTGGCTGTTTTTGCCTTGGCCTTTCCCTCCACAAATATGGCACTGAACACTTTGCCTGATGGCCCAATCATAGCGGCCTGGCACAACGGCTGCAACGAGATGCAGACCCTCCACTCAGTGAAGCAAGGTGTAAACGTGATCTTTTGGTTTTCAGTTGTTCTGGTCAAGGACAAAGACACGCAGCAGCCGAAGGTGGCAGGTGGCCCAGACCCCGCGTGCATAGCCAAGGTACGTGCTGCTATCGAGAACCAGAAGCTTCCCACCTCGCATCTCATTAGCATTGGGGGCTGGAACACCCCACCCCCAGATATTTCTTTCTCTGGCGCTGAATGGTTTGATGCGTGGAATGAGTGGAACAGCAGGCTGCCAGTACCTTTTGATGGGTTTGACTGGGATCTAGAAGGCAATGATCTGGTGACCCATCCCTACAATGAGATTCAACCAGAGTGCCTACAGCTGGTCATTGACATGTCAGTTGCTGCCAAGAAGGCTGGCCTTCTAGTGACCCTGGCGCCGCCACAATCCTACTTTGACGTAACCACGGGGCAGTTCAACCGATTCCTGAACAACTCGGATCCGCACTTCCATCCAGAGTTCTACTACAGGGGAAGGAATAGCTACGCTTACATCTTTGCTGCTGCTCCGGCTGGGACCTTTGACCTTGTGGAGGTGCAGCTCTATGAGACCTTCGCACCTGCCTTGCGGAGCTTGAATGCGGGTGTGCTGGGCGAAGACTACCTGCGCTCATGGGTGGCCAACCTCCTGAGCGGGTGGATGATCAACGTAACAGACCCACTGCTCCCACTGAAAGGGCTTGTTCCAGTTCACCTGGATTCCAGCCGTCTGCTGGTAGGGATAAGCTTTGCACCAGGAGGCTCTCCAGGCCGGTCTGTGTTTTTCTGGCCTGATCAGATTCTGGGTTGCGGTTAAGGAACTTAATTTAACTTACCACAATGTATATATATATATATATTGTAATTAATGGGGTTTCCCCAATGTAGTAACTTAACTTAAACTCCTTAACAGCAACTCAGGATTCGCCAGGCATACCAAGCCGCTGAGCCTCAGTGGCGGCCCCGTGGGTATGCTTTCTGGTGCATTGGGTTGGAAGGGACCAAGGTCAATGGCACCACTAGCACAGTGGAGTCTGGGTTGCTGTTAAGGAACTTAAATTAAGTTACTGTATTGGGGAAACCCTATTATTTACTATATATACCCGTTATGGTAACTTAATTTAAGTTCCTTAACAGCAACCCAGGAGTTTGCCACCAGTTTAAATTCGTTCCTGCATGTGCGAGACGTGCCTCCAGAGGAGTCGACAACTGAGTTTTTGTTGCCATAGGACTCGAAAAGAGATTCTTTGTTTTAATAGGACTCGAAAAGAGCGTCTTCGTTTAACAGGACTTGACAACCGAGTCTTTGTTTTAATAGGACTGGATCGCAGAGACTTCGTTTTAATACGAGAAGACAGCATCCTTCCTTCATTCGGACTCATAAAGAGTTTCCTGTTCAACTTGTTGTACGAGCAGTAGCCGCAGCAGCGCTTCCGACAAGAATTTCAACCGGAGGCATTCTTCAAAGAAGATCCCTGCTCAAGGAGGACTGCGATGATCTACCGAACCTCGGAAAACTCCGAGGGAGAATGACCAGCCCACATCTGGCATTACAAAATCAATGCTATTTTTTTGGACGGCGGAGTGATCTGCTAGAGTATAATTGGCAACTGTGTTGTTGCGGAACGAGATGAGATGAGCTATAGTCTAA